AAATTGGTACATTCATTAAGAAAATAAAACATATTCTTTTGTTTTGTAAGTTAATCAATACATAAACGCTTTTTTATTAAAGATCATATAATTTAAGAATAAGTCGACGTGCCAGTGCTGAAAGATGCCACTTCGCGTATTTTAGTATTTTAGCTTCCCCAAATTGACTTCGTTAATGAAAAAAAAACCACAAGACTTTTTTTCTGTGTTTATTTCGCAAAATTTCCAAGTGTTTCCATACTTTTACCCCGTATACATCGTTCACCGAAACTCTGGCTTCAAAGTAATAAAACATAGTGGCTCTCACTCATTTCTTTGTCTATCTATTGTGTACTTGCTTCGTGGCCCTATAAGGTTATAACTCCGACCCCATCAGTAAAGAAATCAAATTAAATTACTTCTTTTTCCACCAGTAGTTCGCTCCGAGTTATGCAGTTTATGTTTATCGTGAGCGATGCGCCATATCGATGTGAGCTCTGAGATTTTTTTTCTGTCCAAATGTCTTGCCGCATGTCTCGCATGAATGTATGATACCACTATGCGACGATTTGACATGCTTACGGAGTTGAGTTTGATATTTAAATTTTTTTCCACAGAAATCACATGGATGGGTGATTCCATTGTGCTCCGCATCGATATGGGCTTTAAGACTTCTTTTCGCAGTAAATTTCTTTGTGCACATATCACATGCATGCCTGACACCATTATGCTCCGATGCGATATGTATTTTGAGAGAACTATTTTGTGTAAACTTCTTTCCACAAACATCACATGCATGTCTGACTCGCTTGTGCACCGAATCGATGTGCCTTTTTAGGCTACCCTTGTCTGAGAATGTCTTTGGGCATTTATTACAAGGATGCATAATTTTATGATGTATCGATTCGACGTGGCTTTTGAGATTATCTTTCCGAGTGAATGTCTTCCCACAAATATCACACGCATGTGAAACACCATTATGCACTGAATCACTGTGTATTTTAAGATTACTTTTATTTGAGAATGTCTTTAGGCATATATCGCATGAATGCGTGATTTTACGATGCACCGAATCGATGTGCCTATTGAGATGACCTCTTAGTTTGAACACTTTTCCGCAAGTATCACATGCAGGTATGATATTGCCATAACGGACTGATTCAGTCTGAGTTTTGAGCATATGTTTAGAGTTCATCTCCTTTGAAACAGTTCCTTTTTCATTTTTCTCGCTGAGTCCACATCCTAAATTCAAATAACTTTCTTTTTCGCTAAAAATTTCTTTCTTCACTGTCCCGACAATTTCTAGTTTAATCTTGCTTCCGGTTTTATAATCATCACTATGCTGCCCGTGATTTGGAGAGAAATCTTCAATTTTGGCCAATAAATTGGGCTTCATGTCTGTATATTCCAACTCGATTTGTACGTCGCCAAGTTTATTTTCGTGATTTTCGTCACATTCTTGAAGAAGCTCTTGGGTCTGAAAAAAAATTAAAATTATTAGGAAAGATTCATTAATGATAGTCGACATTGATTATCAACACTTACTGAATTTTCTTGCCAAAAACTTTCGTACTTAATATTTTGAGTAACTGTAGATGTAATGTCAGTTATTTCATAATCATTATCATCATTGAAAGGTTCATCAAGAGGCTCATCTTTCACTCTGAAATAGATTTAATTAGATTAATTATTTTTTTATGAGAATTTCGTAATGTCATTTTGTAACCGTTCGCCCTCGGGATGCAGACGAATGATCCGGCGAAATCTTGCGTTGCTGTAAACGGAATAAACGGGGTGTCGAAATAACTTACTCGATCATTTAACAAGGCAAAAATATAACAAGGCTTAATTTATTATTAGAAAAGGCGCCAGTCACGAGTGTGACGCCTGATTATATATATTACATTCAATGAATCGACAATGAGTTATCGGGTTCCAACACGCAATTGACATATAAGTTTACTCCGGTACAATATACACACGCGATTAGGCCACCTCGGCTAGAGCGGCAGATACGACGGTCGTGAGTTTGGGCTAGGCGGGGACAAGACCGAGAGAGATCGAGCGTAACGAACAGAGATAGTTATAGCGCATTACGCGAGAGAGATATAGGCGACTTACATTCGTTGACTCTATGGTTTATTGGTGGTTGATTGGGCCTGACGAAGACTGCGAAAATAGCGAGGGCAGACGAGAAGGTAGCCAGATGTTGATGCTCTCCAGGATGGCAGACTCACTCTCACACACGCTGGCCATCGCAGGTCCCACACGAGAGGGGTCGGTAGCTCGAAGCTATTTCACGCGAGGTCCAACACAGAGTGTTCGCTTCATCAACTCCTCGTCGGCTCGTCAGTCATCATAGGCCTCCCTTTCCACTTGACAGGCTTTCGTCTGCTCATAAGGCAGTACGCGCAAGACCCTTCTACGCACTTAGCGTTGATCACGGCTCTCTCTCTCTCTCTGCAAACTCGGCGCTTATCGATAAATTGGCGCCGATCCGCAATACCAATAGGCTCGCTTATTTCCAAGCTCTCTCTCGGGCGGAAGGAATTTTAGGATATATTATACAAGGAAGGAGTACCGTCGGACCCTGTGCTGGACTACTTCCTTACAATTTTTATAAAAGAAAAATTACCTGGCGGTAGGATTTAATACATTGCTCGATTCCATCTTACTCGATGGAAATGTTATTTGCGACTTACTGTGTTAATACTTTCGTTACGAGCCGAACTAGCTCAAACTTACTTCAATAATATTTACTTATTATGATGTGGAAATTGAAAGTAATGTAAACGAAGCAACATTAGTTTCAATATTAAACAAATTACGTTATCGATCTACCTCATTCATAATAATCACTTTTCTGAAAATAATCATTATATCACTAAGAAATTAAAAAATTAACTAAAACAGCTGCAAGAGATGTGAAACATTTTTATCAATTAATTAAAGAATTAAACATTCAAAGACAAATAAAATAAAAAAAAGAAAATTAATCGATCAAATAATTCATTTGAATTATAATGTAGGCGGATCGTCGCGGTCGCGATTACTCGACAATTTTACTCGCCGACGAAAAATAATAGATTATTCGCCGCTTCCCATCTAAATAATACTCGGTATAATGCGAGATTATTTTCCCCGAGATATTTTAACTATTTTCATTACCTTATGTAAATGCTCAATCGATTGATGGTGCGTGGAAGAAAAAAACATGTATTTTCTTGTCAATGAAATTTTTTTCAGTGCGCTGAACTGAACCAGGGTAAAATTGTAACTCACAAAAATAAGTCGAGGAAATAAATGTCGGTCCGATAGCAGAGCGATGGTGCAAATATTATCGTTGTTCAGTTGTCATTTTGATTAAAACTAAAATTTCTGAGAATCAAAACACTTCCAGTTACTCTATATTTATGCCGTGGTAGTTTTCGATTTTTTTATTATTATTATTCGTGTAAACCGTTAATTTATTTCAGAGATTGGGATTTTCTCAAAACAATAATCGATGCCGCGTCGTTATGAATTTTTTAGCTCGTGGCATTCAATCATCGGTCGATTGAGTTGCTCGGTCAAACGACGACGCAATGCAGTATAGGCGACGTTTATGATGTACATCGATTAACGATTAGAAAGCTTATGAAAGTAGCCATGTGCCACTTGCTGCAGCTATTATACATACTTCCGGCTACTACGACTGCTACAACTGCCGTTACTCTCGAACTACAACTTGGCTTTCTCTGTCTCTAATGATTCGACCATGTGTTTTTTACTCACTAAAACGTGGAGATCAGTATACGTTCGAACGCGGCAGTGTGAACAACGAGAAATAAACGCAGCGACTGCGCCTCAAGTGACTTGTGTAGAAAAAAGAAATGAATTTTGTTACATCGCGACTGTTCAAAAAGCGAATGCGAGTGCGAACAATTGCCGAGAACGTTGATTTAGAAAAAGTAAAGTGCTTGCGAGAGAAGGTCAATTGGGAGGTCGAGACGGAGCGACGTGAGTTTCTCCGTCGACTGCGCCCTTTGATCGAAAACTGGAAGGGCCAACTTCCCAACCTTTCGAAGGTATTTCAATCCGAAGAAATCAGGCGTCTTATCTGGGATTCGGCGAAAGGCCTTCTCTTCGCCGGATACGATGATCGCGGCGAGGAATATCTGCGATTCATCGTGTTCGTGATCCGAGCCGGCATTAACGAAAGCAACCTCGAACTCGACGAGGTCGCATTGCTGCAACGTTTAGCTAGATCTTGTTTCATGGCTCAGTCTGAATATCGCCTGCAGCCTCACGACGTTCCTTGTTGGCTGATTTTCGAAGTATACGCGAAATTCGATGCGAATTACTTCGACGAGGAGACCCGTCCGGAGCATTTCCACATGGCCTGCAAATTCGCCGGTCACGACGCGGTGGAGAAATTCCTCGAACTCGGCATGGATCCCAATCTCCGACAGAGAGAAACGGGCGACACGCCGCTACTCTTGGCTTCGTTGGCCGAAGACGACGATTCACGAACGATCGAGCTGCTGCTGAGAAACGGCGCCGATCCGAATGCAGCCGATCGAGGCGGATCGACGCCTCTTCACAGGTTGTGCTATTACGGTAGCCCCGACAGGATCGAGAGGTTCTTGAAGGTCTGCGACGAAGTCGGGCAGCAGGTGCACATCGATGCCCGGGACGAAGAGGGTTGGACGCCGCTGCACTTGGCTCTGGAGTTGCGCCGAAAGGAGGCGTTCGAATTGCTGCTGAGATGTGGCGCCAGTCCGAATCTAATCGACAATGACGGAAGGACACCTCTTCACGTTATCTGCAAAAGTGACCGCCACGATGAATTCGCCCGGATCTTGTTTGAGATCTGCGACGACATCCATCAGACGGTCCAGATCAATGCCCGAGATAATGACGGTAAGACACCATTGCAGTTCGCCGTGGCGAATCTATCGCCAGAAATCACCGATATGCTCTTGAATCGTGGCGCAGATATGTCCAACTGCTTTTTTCCGACTTCAATTGATACGAATCTCCTAAAAAATTCACTGTTTGACTTGAAAATGAGATTAGCTTCCGGTGCTTTGGCCGTTGCTGAACATCTCGAGGCAAGAGGATATCGCTTCAGCCGAAGCGACGCCCTGACGATCATGAAACTCTTTGCTAAACACGATTTGTTCGAAAAGTCGTCGAATCTTGAAGAATCTCTTCGTGATGATCAGGAGTTCACAAACGAAGCCAAAGAGATAATAATCGTTCCGAGTCTGTCGCTCTACGATCTGATCCACTTAGGACCCAAAGAGGAGGAAGAGCTACTCACGTATACAGACTACTTCGTGCTCTTGCTTGGCAATAAATTGTGGAGGATCCCAGAAAGACACCAAGAGAATTGTATTTTGCATCTGTGCGAAAAACTATCGAGAGGATTTTTTCGACGTTGGGCCCTGGACCCGTTCTTCGAGTTGATTCACAAACGTCTGCCTATCGAGTGCTGCGAGATGGTCCTGGAGAAGCTGAACAACCAAGATTTGTGCAATATCTGCTTGGCGGCTCCAGGCCAAACCTCGTCATAACGATAAATGTATTTCCAGTACTGTATTTATGTTCTTGTATTATTCATTATTCCATAGAGCAAAATTGAGAATTATTTTCAAAATATGCTCCATTGTAATATTATTTGATTTTGGATTTAGCAAAAATAAATAAAGACGATACCTAGGCCACAATTCTCATCGGCCAAGCACAGATAATGTATATGTTCGTAACTTTTTTTCCAGGCTGATTTTAGAAACACAGATCTGCGGAGCCTTCCCTATTGTTGCTGTGAACGACTGCGCCACATTTCAGCCGATTTCATCGGATAATTTTCCGGGAAAACAGGATCAAAGTCTTTTATCCTGAAAACAGTAATCAAAAATTTTGATCCTGTTTTCCGAAAAAACTACCCGATGAAATGGGATGAAATTTGGTGCAATTATTCACAGCTACGGAGGGCTCCACAATGCCGTTTTTCGAAAATCGGTCTAGTAAAAAAGTTATTTCAATTTACATTTTTAATGCTCGGTCGATCGAAATCGGGGCTTCGGCATCACCTTAAAGGAAATGAAAATTTTTTTCTATTTCATGTGTACAAAAGTTTAATCAATAAAATCGAATTTTCTCATAATTACATCTTCTATTTATTTAAAATTATTATTTGGTAACACTATCGTGATCTGCGCTTGTCTCATTCTGGTCTGCAAAGCCAGCTATGGCAATCAATAAAATTAAATTTAAATTAAAATACATTTCTTTTAATTTTATTACAAAATTCAACTCAAATAATTAAGCAATTTCAAGTACATTTTAAATTCGAATAAATTTTAATTTCGAATTAGTTCAAAATTGATGTCGAATTCACTGGAACTACTTGTATAGTATTCATTTCGATTTTTATAAGAATGAAAGAACGACTCGAAAGTGCTGTATACCGTTAGAGAATCAGCTTTACAGAGTTTAAAAAATGCAATGAAATAAGGGAAAGTAAAGTCCTTTTCAAAAATTGAATGAAAATTCTTTAATTAATTGATTAAGACTTTTCACATCTTGCAGATGTTCAGAAATAGCTGATTTTTTTCATTCGTATCTTTATGACTTTTTTTTAATTTTTATATAGTAGTCTTCGCTTTAATGGTGCGCGGGGACACCCTCTTGCAATCGACGTAAACATCGTTACTGTTTACGTCGCGCAATTTCGTCAAGTGTTACTGTGTACACGGTTGATTCTCTTGATGTAGAAATCGTGAAACTGAATATGAAGCATGACTCTGAATTTTTTTAAGGGATGCCTTTTCTTTAAAAAAAAATATCTGATTTTCTACTTCGACATATATTTTTTAGTGAAATTGGGGAAAAGCTCAGCTGGAGAGGACTTTAGGAGAGAGCCTAAAGGCATATTATAGAGGCAGAAAAAACATAACACCGAGAATTTCATCGTATAATTAATAAAAATTATTAATTCAGTCATCTGAAGAGATCCTTTCGATCGTACATTTGAATTTGTGACTTGATTGAACATAAATTGAATACATATATTAGGTCTGATTGCGTGGGTGATGTGCCACATCGATGTGAGCTCTGAGACTTCTTTTCTTTCCGAATGTCTTGCCGCAGGTCTCGCATGAATGTATGATATCACTATGCGAAAATTTGACGTGCTTGTTGAGTTGAGTTTGGTATTTAAATTTTTTTTCACAGAAATCACATGGATGGGTGATTCCATTGTGCTCAGCATCGATATGGGTTTTCAGACTACTTTTCGCAGTAAATTTCTTTGTGCACATATCATAAGGATGGGTGATTCCATTGTGCTCAGCTTCGATATGGGTTTTGAGATTAATTTTTTGTGTGAATTTATTTCCGCATATATTACATGCGTGAGTAATATTATTATGCATTGCATCGATGTGGACTTTGAGTTGACTATTCTGTATGTATGTCTTTCCACATACGTCACATGCGAAGCCGATTCCATTGTGCACAGCATCGATATGGTTTTGGAGATAATACTTTGTTGTGAATGTTTTTTCACAAATATCGCATGCATGTCTGACACTATTATGCACCGATTCTATGTGGATTTTGAGATGATCTTTTCGAGTAAATGTCTTTCCACAAATATCACATGCATGCCTTATTTTACGATGCACCGAATCAATGTGCTTTCTGAGATTACTCCTGTTTGAGAATGTCTTTTGGCATACATCGCAAGCGTGCCTTATTTTACGATGCACCGAATCCATGTGTCTTTTGAGATTACCCTTGTCTGATAATGTTTTTTGGCATATATCGCATGCATTATTAATACCACTTTGCACTATACCCACGTGTGCTTTGAGACTCCTCTTATAGTTCGACTCTTTTGAAACACTTCCTGTTTCATTTTGCTCGCTGAGTCCACGTCCGAAATTCAAATCAGTTTCTTCTTCGCTTAAAATTTCTTTCTTCACTGTCGCGACAGTTTCTAGTTTTATTTTGCTTCCAGTTTTATACTCATCGCTATCCGGCCATTGATTTGGAGAATAATCTTCAATTTTCGCAACTGCCAATAAATTGGGCTTCATGTCTGTACATTCCATTTCGATTTCCAGGTCGTCAAGTTCATTTCCATGATTTCCGTCAAATTCTTGATGTATTTGATTCTAAAAAAATTTTAATTATGAAGAAAGTTTAAATAAACTACGATGGATGCAATAATTATCAACACATACTGAATTTTCTCGCCGAAACCTTTCGTATTTTATATTTTGAGTAACGGGTGTTGTGTCAATTATATCATTATTATCATTGAGATGATCGTCCCAAGGTTCTTTTTTCACTCTGAAATAGGTTTGATAAGATTACATGATTATGTTTAAATATTTTTATATTATCATACTCATAAAATAAAAATTACCTAAAGGTAGAATTGAATAGATTGCCCGATTCCATCTTACTCGATGAAAATATCATTTGCGACTTACTCTGTCAATACTAACGTTACGAGTCGAACTAGCTCAAAACTCACTTCAATAATATTTATGAATCATGATGTGGAAGTAGAAACTAATCGAAATGAAATCAACATTAGTGCCGAAATGAATCAACATAAGTTTCATTGCATGGAGCAAATTATGTTATCGATCTATCTGACGAATAACAATAATTTTTCTATAAATGATCATTATATCACTGCGAAATCAAAATTATAATAAAAAAATGATCTCGCGTCTCAAAAATGTCCTTGCCAACGAGAATAATTCATTACGCGTCTAAATACCGAGTTGTTTCACGTGCAAAGAAAGGATAATTGGTATTACTTTACATGATCGCCCCGCAGAGCCGACAGATGGTACCTGTCCGCGTGGATGGACTCGACGCCCCGGGCCTATCACGGGGTCTGCAGCCTCGACCGGCTCATCTACATAATCGGCGGCTACGACGGCCACAATTACTTCCACACGGTGCGCAGCTTCGACCCGGTGAGCAAGGAGTGGCGCGAGCGGGCCTGCATGTATCACGCCAGGTGCTACGTCAGCACGTGCGTTCACGGTATAAAGCGCCAAAAAAGAAAAAAAAAAAAAGAAAAGAAAATCCGACAGCTTCTCTCTATCGCCGTTACTTTTTCGCTTCGCAGACGGAAAGATCTACGCTCTGGGCGGCAACAGCGGCATGACCCGACTGTCCTCGTGCGAGCGCTACGANAAATTCGAATAAATTTTAATTTCGAATTCGTTCAAAATTGATGTCGAATTCACTGGAACTACTTGTATAGTATTCATTTCGATTTTTATAAGAATGAAAGAACGACTCGAAAGTGCTGTATATCATTAGAGAATCAGCTTTACAGAGTTTAAAAAATGCAATGAAATAAGGGAAAGAAAAGTCCTTTTCAAAAATTGAATGAAAATTCTTTAATTGATTAATTAAGACGTTTCACATCTTGCAGATGTTCAGAAATAGCTAATTTTTTTCATTCGTATCTTTATGAATTTTTTCTAATTTTTATATAGTAGTGTTCGCTTTAATGGTGCGCGGGGACGCCCTCTTGCAATCGACGTAAACATCGTTGCTGTTTACGTCGCGCGATTTTGTCAAGTGTTACTGTGTACGCGGTTGATTCTCTTGATGTACAGAAATTGTGAAACCGAAAACGGAGATATAAGTCTGAATTTTTTTAAGGGGTGCATTTTCTTAAATAAAGAATATCTGATTTTCTACTTCGACATTTATTTTTTAGTGAAATTGGGGAAAAACTCGGCTAAAGAGGACTTTAGGAGAGAGCCTAAAGACATATTATAGAGTCAGAAAAAACATAACACCGAGAATTTCATCGTACAATTAATAAAAATTATTAATTCAGTCGTCTGAAGAGATACACTTGATCTTAAATTCTAATTTGTAACTTAATTGAACATAAATTTAATACATTTATTAGGTCTGATTGCGTGAGCGATGCGCCACATCGATGTGAGCTCTGAGACTTCTTTTCTTTCCAAATGTCTTGCCGCATGTCTCGCATGAATGTATGATACCACTATGCGAGGATTTGACATGCCTATTGAGTTGAGTTTGGTATTTATATTTTTTTTCACATAAATCACATGAATAGGTGATTCCATTGTGCTCAGCATCGATATGGGCTTTCAGACTACTTTTCGCAGTAAATTTCTTTGTGCACATATCACATGGATGGGTAATTCCATTGTGCTCCGCATCCATATGCCTTTTGAGATTATATTTTAGTGTGAATCTATTTCCGCACACTTCACATGCGAAGTCAATTCCATTGTGCACAGCATCGATATGGTTTTGGAGATAATACTTTGATGTGAACTTCTTTTTGCAAATATCGCATGCATGTCTGACACTATTATGCATCGCATCGATGTGTTTTTGACGATTACCCTTGTCTGAGAATGTCTTTTGGCATTTATCACACGGATGCGTAATTTTATGATGTATTGAATCGATGTGTTTCTTGAGACAACTCTTGTCTGTGTATGTCTTCGGGCATATATTACACGCATGTGAAATACCATCATGCACCGACTCTATGTGATTTTTGAGAGTACTCTTCTTTGAGAATGTCTTTGGACATTTATTACAAGGATGCGTAATTTTATGATGTATCGATTCGATATGGATTTTGATATGACCCTTCTGTGTGAATGTCTTTTCGCAAATATCACATGTATGCCTTATTTTACGATGCACCGAATGGATGTGTCTATTGAGATGACCTCTTAGTTTGAACACTTTTCCGCAAATATCACATGCAGGTGTAATATTGCCATTACGGGCCGATTCAGTGTGAGTTTTTAGCCAATGATTATATTTAATCTCTTTTGAAACACTTCCTGTTTCATTTTTCTCGCTCAGTCCACGTCCGAAATTCAAATCAGTTTCTTCTTCGCTTAAAATTTCTTTCTTCACTGTTGCGACAGTTTCTAGTTTTATTTTGCTTCCAGTTTTATACTCATCGCTATCCGGCCATTGATCTGGAGAATAATCTTCAATTTTTGCAACTGCCAATAAATTGGGCTTCATGTCTGTACATTCCATTTCGATTTCCAGGTCGTCAAGTTCATTTCCATGATTTCCGTCAAATTCTTGATGTATTTGATTCTAAAAAAATTTTAATTATGAAGAAAGTTTAAATAAACTATGATGGATGCAATAATTATCAAGACATACTGAATTTTCTCGCCGAAACCTTTCGTATTTTATATTTTGAGTAACGGGTGTTGTGTCAATTACATCATTAATATCATCGAGATGATCATCCCAAGGTTCTTTTTTCACTCTGAAATAGGTTTGATAAGATTACATGATTATGTTTAAATATTTTTATATTATCATACTCATAAAATAAAAATTACCTAACGGTAGAATCGAATAGATTGCCCGATTCCATCTTACTTGATGGAAATATCATTTGCGACTTACTGTCAATACTAACGTTACGAGTCGAACTAGCTCAAAGCTCACTTCAATAATATTTACGAATCATGATGTGGAAGTAGAAACTAATCGAAATAAAATCAACATTAGTGCCGAAATGAATCAACATAAGTTTCATTGCATGGAACAAATTATGTTATCGATCTATCTGACGAATAACAATAATTTTTCTATAAATGATCATTATATCACTGCGAAATCAAAATTATAATAAAAAAATGATCTCGCGTCTCAAAAATGTCCCTGCCAACGAGAATAATTCATTACGCGTCTAAATACCGAGTTGTTTCACGTGCAAAGAAAGGATAATTGGTATTACTTTACATGATCGCCCGCAGAGCCGACAGATGGTACCTGTCCGCGTGGATGGACTCGACGCCCCGGGCCTATCACGGGGTCTGCAGCCTCGACCGGCTCATCTACATAATCGGCGGCTACGACGGCCACAATTACTTCCACACGGTGCGCAGCTTCGACCCGGTGAGCAAGGAGTGGCGCGAGCGGGCCTGCATGTATCACGCCAGGTGCTACGTCAGCACGTGCGTTCACGGTATAAAGCGCCAAAAAAGAAAAAAAAAAAAAGAAAAGAAAATCCGACAGCTTCTCTCTATCGCCGTTACTTTTTCGCTTCGCAGACGGAAAGATCTACGCTCTGGGCGGCAACAGCGGCATGACCCGACTGTCCTCGTGCGAGCGCTACGACCCGGCGGCCAATCAGTGGCAGCTCATAGCCCCGATGAACTGGCCGCGCTCCGACGCCTCGGCAGCGGCCCTCGACGACAAGATCTACATCGTCGGTGGCTTCGACGGCCAGCTCGTGCTCGACTACGTCGAGGTCTACGACTGCGCCCAGAACCAGTGGTCCTATCTGGCCTTCATGAGCCAGCCCCGGTCGGGCGTGAGCCTCGTCGCCTTCAGGGGCTGCCTCTACGCCCTCGGCGGCTTCAACGGCGTCGATCGGCTCAGCTCCTGCGAGAGATACGATCCCGAGAGCAGTGGCAACGCGACTTGGCAGCCGTGCGGCGCGATGCTGGACGCGCGCAGCAACTTCGCCACGGCGGTGCTGGACGGCCGACTGTACGCGGTGGGCGGCTTCGACGGCAGCCTGCCCGTGCCCAGCTGCGAGTGCTACGAGCCCGAGACCGACTCGTGGCGCGCCTCGGCCCCCATGAATCTCAGCCGATCGGCGCTGGGCGCCTGCGTGCTGGCGGGCCTGCCCAACGCCCGCGAGTACTCGTTTCATCGGGAGGAGGGTAGGAGGGACGACGGCGCCGAGGATAATACGAGCAACGATCGGCCGAGACAGCAGCAGCAGAGCAACGGCATCGGTGGCAACGTGATCGGTTGAGGGAGAGAGAGAGAGAGAGACGATTTTCTTGAACATTATGACTGATTTTTAACGAGGAAACCGAGATCTCTTTTCCTGTCGACTCTGTTGCTTTTTTTTTTGCCGCCAGTCGCCGGTAATATTTTAAGCTTTTTTGCGACTTTTTATACTCATCAGCCTTTTTTTAAATATTGCATTATTACCGGGCGACTGCGCAAGAGTACATATTTTATTTTATTTTAACGTAATTTTAGATTTTTTCTTTTTAGAGAGCCACGTGTATTTTTAATAACGATGAGAATTATTGTTGACGATCGGTGATTTCAGATTTTAACGTCATAAACGAATCATGGTTGATTTATTTATTTTTAAGATTTACTATCATCGATAAGCAAAAAAAAAAAAGAAAGAATAAATCATTTGGGATATGGAAACAAAAAGAACAAATACATGCATCTTTGATAATAATGTTATTACTACCAATTATCGTTCTACAGCAATGATATGAAGAAAAATTTCTTAGCATACACAATCTTGTAGATTTTTTGGAGCTTTTTTAGAGCTTTATCAATTCACAGATCGTCTAATATTACGATATTTTTACTGAACTTGTGAATTCGGTAGGTTAACCGCCAAGCAAATGCGCCACAAATATTTGTTACTTGGCTACCGGATCGTCTCGTAACACTTGATTGGCTGCCGATGGCACCTCAGCTACGCAAGAGGATTCAGTCATTATAATTTATGCAAGAAATCATTCAGAATCATGCGGTCCAAAATTATCCTTAGTAAATCCCGCAGAATGACCCTTGGGATTTTCTGTGTAATTTTCTTTGGGGAATTTTTGCCGAATCTTTTTCACACAACTTTTTCCTACGGGTTCATACATTATTAGTTTAATTATATTATTTCATTTACATTAATTAATAAATATTTAATTTACTCATATAGAGTGGAGGATTTTCGTTTATTATTCATTCAATTAAAGTTTTTAATTTTTGTCGAGTCATTAATTTGTACGCATTAGATATATGAGATCATTTTCTTTGTTCTAAAACGATTCAGATACACGGTATTCTTCACACATGACATTATTTCATGATCGTTTATAATTGTGACACAACACCCTTGTGTATGCTATGAACAAGCGTACTCAAAGCCCGATATACTTCGGTATAAGTATGTGCTCCTTTCATTTTTTGTCAGACAAAAATATTTTTTTTCAAAAGTTTTAAAGTCGTAAAACATGCAATGCCTACAAAACGCTCACATATCGTACCAGAGGCGCAAGTGACTTTTCCTTTTACGAGTGTCCAATTTTTTATGCCTTCAAGCGTCACGAGCTCTGATAGGTATACCGTCAGAGCTTGAAAATTTGAATCTCAATCAATCGAATTTTTTTCAAGATCATCTATATTTTAGCTGTAAATCACTTTATCTACTTTGTAGATTCAAGATTCAAGTACTACTGATAAAAATTGATCAATAATATCTTATATTTGTTTGATCTTCTTCTTTTTTTTCATCAGCCAGAAATATTATTTTTTCCGATCATATACAAAAGTTTTAAAATCGTAAAACTTACAATGCCTACAAAGCAACGATCGGCCGAGACAGCAGCAGAGCAACGGCATCGGTGGCAACGTGATCGGTTGAGGGAGAGAGACAGAGACGATTTTCTTGAACATTATGACTGATTTTTAGCGAAAAACCGAGATCTCTTTTTCTGTCGACTCTGTTGGTTTTTTTTTTGACGGCAGTCGCCGGTAATATTTTAAGCTTTTTTGCGACTTTTTATACTCATCAGCCTTTTTTTAAATCTTGCATTATTACCGGGCGACGGCGCAAGAGTACATATTTTATTTTATCTTAACGTAATTTTAGATTTTTTTTTTAGAGAGCCACGTGTATTTTTGATGTGAAACATCTATATTTTAATAACGATGAGAGTTATTGTTGACGATCGGTGATTTCAGATTTTAACGTTATAAACGAATCATGGTTGATTTATTTATTTTTAAGATTTACCATCATCGATAAGCAAAAAAAAAGAATGAATAAATCATTTGGGATATGGAAACGAAAGGAACAAATACATGCGTCTTTGATAATAATGTTATTACTAGATGATAGTTTTACAGCAATGATATAGAGAACTTTTTTGGAACTTTTTTAGAGCTTTTTCGATTCACAGATCTTATTTCATTACGATATTTTTTAAATGTCCTTGTGAACTTGGCAATGTAGCCGCCAAGCAGATGTGCCATACGGCTTTGTTAACCAGCGCGTATCGCCGAAAAAATTCTCTCGATAGGTTCTCGCTAAGCCCGATATACTTTAATATAGGCATGTGCTCTATTCATTTTTCGTCAGACAGAAATATTTTTTCTTCAAAAATTTTAAAGTCGTAAAACTTGAAATGCCTACAAAACGCTTCCGTGTCGTGCCAGGTACAGCTGGTGACTTTTCCTTTTGTAACTGTCAATGTTTTATGACTCTAAGCATCACGAGTTGTGATAGGTATGCAAAGCTTGACAATGCGAATATATAAAGAAATGGGAAACAAAATCTTACTCAAAAACTCTTAAACGAAATGTTTATTCAAATATTCTGTTTTTTGATAAGACGAGAATGATGAAGGGAAGATGTCAGTACAAACAAAAAGATTAAAATCGAGGAAAAATATAATAAATCAAAAGATGCGATTGCTCCTAGTAATATTTAATAAATAAAGATTACAATTAAATGAAAATTATTCATATATAATATTAAATAAATATTTAGGTAGAGTCAGTACAAGAAGTATTCAAAATTTTCAATAAGACTTTTATGTTTTATAAATGTTTACTCCCAACTCGATAGTTAACAAGAAAACAATTCATTTTTTTTAACATCGCAGAAAATGTTAGTATTTATTGTGTAAGTACAAAGAGAACACATTCGAAATTATATGGCAATTAATTGTTTTTGAATTATCACGATTTTGCTGGAGTAGGGAATTGTTCAACGCATTAACCAAAAATCGTGCAAACGATAGGCTTTAAAACGGCGAAATCCGAGTATTTTACCACATTTCTCCTAGTTATAGACTTGGGGAATTTCGGGCAAGTAACGCCGCAAAATAAAATCATTTTAATAATTTCATACGACATATTGTAAAACCAACACCATGCGTATTGTGCTAATTTTTTCTACCTTTTTGCTGAGTTTATTCAGTCACCAACGTGTTCATTCCTTAGCGAATAACGAATTGTCCGAAGAAATATTGGATGGATTCAGCCTTGGCCAAGAGGAATTTGACGAACTTGAAAAAAATGGTGATTTACATCAAAACCTGGTACTGCTCATAGCAAGCTCTAGAGCGAGAGAGGACTTTTTCAGTGATCACGCCTCCGAAACCATCGACTTGACCAGCAATTCAGTGATTCTGCCGCGTTTGATGCTGAATACTCGAACGAAAACCGAGTTTTTGGACTTTTCTATCGTGAACGAGGAAATCAAATCAGCCCAGCGTATACCAAGAATTTATTTTACCAGCAAGATTGTCAACTTGGTAAGTGCAGTAAAGCTGCTTCTTCTCGTTGATTTTCCCTCGTTCCATAAGCAGATCGACGCTCTCTTGGAAAAAGCCGCAGAATCCATCGAGGACGCAAAAAAATTTCTGGG